AACCAAAAATGGCAGCAACACTTTAATATCTGATAAGATAGGTAGTCGATCAACTAAACATAGCAGTTTAACAACTAATATCAACTAAACATAGTAGTTTAAAAACTAAAATGGGTACTTGATCAACCAAACATAGTAGTTTAACAACTAAGATAGGTAATCGATGAACTTATGAAGCTTCTGCCTATTCGCTTGTCCTTCTTTGATAAAAGCAGCCTTCATACTTTTGAGCTCATTCCTCTCGCACTTCAGCTGATCCCTCTCCTCCTTCTGCTCATTCCTCTCACCGATGAGCATCCGGCGCTTTTTATTGGATTTAAATGCATGGTTGAATTCGATCGATGACTCGGACTGAGACTGCATGATGGGCATTTGGTTTGGTTTTTCCAAAAGGGTGGTCATTTTGGTGCACCGGGTTGAATGGCCAGCTCCACTACTGCTGTCCAGGACGTGTCCACGTATGTTTTATGTGTTTATTTTGATGGACAACATTGGAGATCAATCGCAACAGCCCCCCAGAAATTAAGACACAAGGTTAGAATCCGAGCTCTTATAGAGCAGTATCTCACTGACGGCTTGGCTTGTGAGAGTTAAGCTGAAGATGTCATCTTAGTTCCCTTTTCTTGTACCATCTGAGATGTTTGTTGTGTTGCTTCTTTTGCATGGATGGTTAAGAAAACTTATTACCTCGTGTTAATTCAGTGTGGCTTGTTGCGGCAATGTATTAATCATGTGTGCTTCACAAATGTTTTGTCTGTGATTTCAATGCCAAAATATTTCAAGAGGTCCACCAGCGAAATACAATTGTGAATGAATAGAGGAATAGAAATAGGAATATCTCGGAGCCCCACCTCCGAAATTCAATTGAGAAGCATGTCAGGCTGACGTCTGAGGATCCGCAAATCAGAACCGGGCTGGTTTGATCTTCACTTGTTGAAGAATCGGGCATGTTGTTCTTTTTGCTCTAGCATGGAGAGTTTGTTTAGTCAACAATGAAGCACCTCTGTTCGTCGAAATCTTCATAGCCAACGTCTACAAGGCAGAGGCCCTCCGCGGGTGCCGGGGGAGCCGTTGCGCGCCTGCAAGTGGCTTCCATCAGGTTCAGCAAGGCGTCTTCATCAGCTCCAGCAGCAGCCTCTCTGATGCTGGTCGCAACAAGAACCCTAACCATCTGTTTGTCGCAAATTAAACCAGAGTTCATGGAGTGATTGAGAATAAATAGTAGGGCATATAGCAGTGTGTTGTGTTACCTTGCGTAGGAATCTGTTCGCAACTAGCTCAACACACATGACCGGTGTGCTTTCTTTGCAATTCTGCAAAAGTGGAAAGCAAGAACTGACATAAGTTTCAACTGAAATGATGCATGTGCATATGCAAAGATAAGGAGAAAATTCAGACCCAAGGCAAATCCCAACCAGCTGAGGGTAGACAGTTATATTCCATTTGATAAATGCAGTCTATGCATTAAGGAAAGAAAAAATGAGCATGCTAGAATCACCTCATCAGCAGAATACAGTTTGGTCACTGCAGCTCGAGAATGGAACATAAAACACTCCGTAGCTGGGCCGCTGCAAAAACAGCAGGGCATCAAATGAAGTGACTGATGAGTTAATTGAACTCAAGAGAATGTATAAAATAAGAGACATGAATATCATCTAAAAGGAACACATCATGCTCACTTCAGATAACAAGCACTAATGAAGAGTGGCACACAAATTCAGGAAGGTCTCTAGTGAGCAACCATGTCTGAATTAGGTGATGAAACTATTGCTAATCCAACGTGAGGAACCATTTCTGTACTTGAAAAATACAAAGCAAGTTATGATATATGAAACTTACTCGCTACGTGAAGCTTGTGTGTCACGTGCAAATATTTTGTAAGATAGCATTTTTCCTTCCAGTTGCCTAATGATTTTGTCAACCTTGGCCACATCAAAGCTCCGAGGTGCTTTGTATTCAGGATTCTCTAGTATCATAGACGATTGCTCATCCTCTGATATTGATTTAGCATCCCCATCAAGAGGAAATATATACAGGTATCTCCTCCATTTGGCTGAAAAATTAGGATGAAATTCACGTGAGACCTGCAAATGAGGGCATCAGTTAATATTTAGCATAACATCCTGTATGGTCGGGATCAAGGTATTCTCAGAACCTTCTAACACATAAAAAAAAAATCTCTGGTAGTCTCAAACCAGAAAATAGCTAGTAAACGAAGCTTGTCAACAATTTGATATCAAATACAATCGCTAGCATTCATATTACTAGCAATGATATATTCTACAAGAGCAAGGGAAATACCTCTGACACAACCAAAGATTTAATTTTATCTGGTGAGGCCTCATTTATTGTGTCTTTTATATCGGCAGGCTGCACATCCTTTCTCCACGTATCTAAGGCGATTAACAAGAAGCATTTCACATCAGTTATCAGAAGTGATGGTCAAGACTACTGAAGTAAAATTTTACATAAGCACACATGGACATACTAACTGATTTATGCTACTAGTAAGTTCCCAGTTAAATACATGGCATGCATTGCTCGAGTAAAGTCAGCTGAGAAGGAACATTAGCACTTATTTGCCCACAAAGAAATGTTCAGGCAATTTTTTGTTTTTGGCCAGAGTTGTGGTATGCTGTCACCGGTAAATATTTGCTAAAGTAAGGTCAATGAGAAGCAAATAACTTCTATGATTTGATTTGCTTCTATCAATTGAGAACCACGGTCTAAAGTCAAGCACGCCATAGTTCTAACAACTACACATGAGATTTCAGGCTCAAGACAAGTTAATATGCATCATAACAAGTTTATAAACATGATTAAAATAGACAGAGGCAACACAACAGTATGTGTTCTCAAGTGTAACTAACAAAATGAGCAGACTTGCTGAAGAGCAGTCACCCCTTTGTCAGTGCGCCCAGCAACAGTGGCACAGCCTTCTATCGGCAACGATCTTTCTTGAAGCTGTTTAGCTTTTCTCTCGTCGACAAATTGTCCAAGATGTTTTTCCACTAACCTGCAACCGATACAGAGTGAAATGAATAACTTCAGTAGTTTTATTCCGCCTTGAAGTATAAAGAAAGCGAGGAGAAAAGGGTTGAAGAAAACTGTAAAGCAAATTCACAGAAATGAGATTATTCTTACCCTTGAACAGTGTTGAGGTCAGGCTGCTTCTGCCAACCATCAAACGAGCCCCCATGATACGAAAGAACAATCTTAAAGTTTGCTCTTTCCCACCTGCCTCCTCGGCCTTTGGAGGATTTAACAGACATTTGTTTTTCAGATGATGCTAAAGGCTCCTCACCATTCGTATCACGAAGATGATCTTTCTGCGGAAGGAAAATCTGATAGACATTGGTAAACAGTATAATAAAACACCAAATGTGGTCTCTGAGTAGTTTCTAGTCAGAATCACTGTCCGCGGCTCTGTGCCGCTTCTACATATATTAACAATGGCAGGTTAATGCAAAACACTCTAGTGTTTGGTCAAGCAACTGATATTGGAATTCTACTTTTTGGGTGATATTCAGTTGTCATTTTCTATTAACATAAGCACTACATATACTTAGTTGAAAAGAATCAGCATTTGTCAAATTATAAAAAGAACTGCCACTGACATGAACACTTCTTCACCCATCAAATAAGGCAAACCATGAAGTTCAGAATCTAAATTTGCGGGGGTGTAGGGGGTGCCAAATTCTACTGTTTTCCACGGACCTCGTCTTTCCCAAACAGCTCGGCGAGCCCCGCCGCCCCGGCGCCGGTGCGCACGAGCTCGGCGTAGAAGTCGACCACCCTGCTCCACGGCCGCGCGTACATGTACTCGTAGCTCTCCCTGCACGGTCAAAACGGGTGACCAAGCGAGCCATATACCAGGCGCCATGAAACGCCATGGGAAGATGAGGAGAGGGGGGAGGTCACCTGGCTGTCCACCGGAGGTGCTGGCAGGCGTCGGTGTGGTTGTACTGCGCGTAGCCATCCCGCTCCGCCGCCGTGGAGAACGCCACGGCCGGGGCGGCCTTCGTCGTCGGTGCCGCCGCCATGAGGGGCCGGAACTTGGCG